TCTATGGTGGTCAAAATGCTGTTGCAATGTTTTGTTTTGTTTTTTTTTTAAGTGCTTTTCAGTATGAACTTGGAAAACTGTATTTACCCTAGGTCAACGATTGGCAAGCGTTCTCCATAAAGGACCAGAATAGTAGGGATTTTAGGTTTTGCAAGCCACTTCCTCTGTGTTGAAACAACTCAGTTCTGCCCTTGCAGTACATAGACAACAGGCACATGAGCGACCATGGCCGTGCTCCAATCAAGTTCACGTGCAGACACGGAATCCTGAATATCACTTACTCTTCATGTGCCATGAAACACTCTTCTTTTTGTGCTTTTTAGCCATTTAAAAATCTAAAACCATTGTTTTTTCTGTGTAAAAACAAACCCTAGGCTGGAGTCAGTCAGCAGACCACAGATTGTTCCCCCTTGCTATAGATGCTCAGATAATTTATGTATTGTCTTGATTGTGTAATCAATATTGAGCTAAAAAAAGGAGGAAGTTTTATAAAAAGCAGCCAAATGATCCTTTATTAAGACATGTATTTCACCACTGTTCTGACATTTTTTTCAGATATCTTTCTCCCATTCTTTACATTGGAGAGATTAAATACATTTTGGGGGGAATTCTCTCCCTGGCATGGCTGCCGTGTGATATGCAGTCCCTTTTAAATCTTGTAGCCTGGAGACCTTTTTACCCCTGTATAAAAACCATTAATAATAAATGCTTTAACCATGCATCTGTTAAAACACAGTATGCAAGGATGAACCAATTAACATTGTATATTTCCTAAGACTCGAAAGCGGCAACATTGAATCTGCTTTGTAATGGCATAAATTCACTGGCACACTTGTTTCTATTTTCGGGATGGGTACAGCAATAGCGTTCAATACCGATGCTGTGAGGAGTGTGGCTCAGCTAACACATTGATTTCATTATGCTGAATTCCCATAGTCATTGGAATTCTATTGGCTTTATTACTTATGTTATCTGGTTATGGTTTGAGATCAAGAAGAATATTGTGAATGGGCTTTCTATAATCTCCTCGTACAAAACGAGGACTTATCAGATAAAGTAGTATCTTATAAGGTAATTATAGGAATTGTTACATAAATGTTTTCATTGCTTCTTGGACTTTGAAATATTAAGGCATGAAAAATAAATATCTGTGTGATGCACAGTTTCATTTCATCCTAGACTTTGCGGCAGGGAATCCTACTCTGGGCAGTGAAATGAATGCAAATGGGCCCTAACCCCTATGTTACTCCTCTGTCCCCAGACTGTGCCCATGTTAGCTTTATCTCTTACCATTGCATGTGCTTTAAGTAGGTCAGTGCTTCCTGAACCAGCCTCGAAAGGCTATTGATAGAGCAAGGAAGCAATGTCTCCATGTTTAGTTAATGGTTATCCACGATGAAATGGATTTCCTTTGCAACCAGTGACTTTTCCAAGCCTCAAGTATGCCTCAGTTCATTGTCAGTCTCCACCAGCCACAGCGTGTGATCAGTGCTTCCCGTGGCTGTCCCGCCAGAGACTGCCATGTTCTAAGGATGAGTGGCTACTGTCCCGGATGGAAGAGACACAAGACACTGTTTTTGTTAGAAGTGGTCAGGAATGTTGGAGAGTTAAAAGGGGAAAGCCATGACACCTTCACAATTATTTCATTATACCCTGCCTCACTTCAAAAGGATTTGACAAGTCTGCAACAATACGTTGAGGCTAAAAACAAGAAAAACCAAATAAGATGAGGAAAGAGGTCAAGGAAAATCAATTGAGAAAAATAACATGAAAGCAAAGGTAAAATTAGTAAACCTAATATTTATTATAAGTTATGTAAAGTTTCCAGAGCTGGGCCACAGATTTGACTCTATCTAAAGTTTTCCTAGTCCTCTAAAATTGAAAGAAACCACCTGAGTGACTCAGTCGGTTAAGCATCCGACTCTTGATCTTAGATCAGGTCATGATCTCACAGTTTGTGGAATTGGGCCCTGCATCTGACAGTGCAGAGTCCGATTAGAATTCTCTCTCTCCCTCTCTGTCTGCCCCTCTCCCATTTGCACTCTATCTCTCAAAATAAATAAATAAGCATTAGAAAAAAATGAGAAAAACCTGATTCCCAGTATCCATGGAGTATCCTACAGAGAAACGGATTAACAAACAAACATAACCTCCAAGATGGGTCCTCGGCCAAGGATTGAAATACGACATGGGAGACTGTATTCCAGCCATGCTGGTCTGTGCTGAATTTCTCATGTGAAGTTGGAAAAGCAAGGCTGATAAATGTGATCCAGTTCTTGGTGTCAGTTCTTTATCCTTCTTTTACTCTGATACGTGTGTCATTTTGGTCAAATGAATATATGGCTATGTTTAGAAATCAAACATACAGATGGCCTCATGATAAAAAAGCAACATCTTGTAGGGTGAGGATATTAATCCCCTCCTTCGCCTTCTCTCTCAGCTCCACCTTTGCCATCCAATTCGTAACCTTTATGCCTTTACTTTTACATTGCCCAAGCTGCATGGCATGTATGTTTGGTTACATAACCATGATTTCAATCATCTGCCCAATCTCAGTAGTATGACTGTAAGGTTGAAAGTCAAGGGAATGTTTACATCACCATGACTACAATGGATTTTAAATGCATGCATTACACTTAGAGGTGCAGGGGAAATGAAATTGCTTATTCCCCATAACGGATGTGATCTTCATCATGAACCCTGACCCTTCCATGGAGGTGTATGTTCTTGATTAATCAATGTCATTGTGTCGTGGGTCCCTAAGATGGCTTTGCCTGTCTAGGTTCGGTGAATCGCTGGAAGGGCTTACAGGACTCGGTGTATCGTCCTACACACGAGTAAGGTTCATCCTGCCAACAGGATGCAAAGTAGCAGATGGAAAAGACATGTGGTGTGAAGTCTGGAGGAAACCACAGGCAAGTTTCCAAGAGCCCTTTCCCAGCAGAGCCGCACAGGACGTGCTCGTTTACCCAGCACCCAGGCTTTACTGGAGGCTGGTCACTGTATACCCCTCCCTAGCACAATTCCAGACTCCCAGGGGATAAGGGGTTCAGCACAAACCAGGTTGTTCCTACAGACAGTTTTCATGCTGCAAACCCTCTGTGTAACTAAGCGAATGGGAACACTCCCCAAGTGCAAATTCCCAAGTGGCATCCCAGGACCACCGTGGAAGCAGCCTCCCTAAGGATGGCAAGCCTCCGGCTTTTCTGCAGTCGCTTACAACCTTGCGGTTGAAGCAGTGGCTTTTGGTGTAATGACCTATGAATCCAGATCGTAGCTCCTTTTGATGTTTGGCTCAAATGGCCTCTGTTGAAGTTTGGCTTAGTATCTTTAAGGTAGATGCTCAACGTCCCAGATTCCCTCTGCCCTCCCCTGTTTCTCTCTAAATTATGTGGGTGCACGTGTAAGTGCGTGGGTCTGTGTGTGTATGGTGTGCCTGTGCGTGGTCTGTGGTGTGGTTGTGTGTGTGTGTGCACGTGAGTGGGTGCGGGTGTGTGGTACCCATGTGTTAGAGCGTCTGATGTGTGTGCACGTGCGTGTGTGTGCTTGGTGCACCTGTGTGTGCGTACGTGTGTTGGTGCAGGGTAGGGGGGGGGAAGCGAGCGCTGCTGGAGACGCAGGAATGGCTGAGATCCTCACGTGCTTTCCGAGTTTGCACTGGTTTGTGCGGCATCATGGCCAGGAGGCTTCTTGGTCTGGCTCGTGGGGCCAGGTGGTCCTGGTGCTGACTGGTGGTGACCAGTTTCACTGCTCACATAAACCTCTGGCGGGTCCCAATGTCTTTGGGAGTAAAATCACCACGGCGGCCATCCCTTGGCCTTAACCTTTCTCCGCCTGGCCGGGCACAGGCCCTATAACACGCCTGCTGGAAGCGCTGTCATCACCACAGCTGGTGACACCACCCTTCTGTCCTCCTCCTTCTCTGCCGTGTCTACAGAGACACCACCCATCTGTCCCGAGGCTCTTGCCCAGAGCCGTACGTTGGATGAGGCCAAGGCTGGGCCTCTCCCTGCCTTCCCTCAAGCTGTCTGACATTCCCCTGAACTCTTAGACCTTCTAGCACACGTGTAAATTCGGCAAATCTGCGTGTCCCCAAATCACTCCTCACCATTCTCCCACTTACTTGACAATTCAGTTAGGTAGAGAATTTTAGGTTGAAAACTCTTTCCTCTGATCTTTAAAGGTATTTGTACTACTTAAAATTTCTATTTTTGATTTTTGTTTCTAGTTAGGGGATCTGACCTTTCTCTCTAGAAGATTTTAGGATCTTCCATTTATGAAAATTCTCACTTTCCCACTGTTGGCTGCTCCAGGCGTCACTCTGTTGTGGCCCATGCCTTCTTCTTGAGCCTTCAGACTTGCTGTGGTCCCACAGGGCACAGAGGCCCCTCCTCTGCTGCAGCCTGTTGCAGATTTCCAGAAACGCATGGAAATTTCTTCTCAATCAATACTCTGTCTTCTGTTCTCCTTGGTATTATGGGTTTACACCAAGCTAGTTTTTAAATGTCGTTTTTGTGGTGCCTCAGGAGAGAGTGGGGGAAATGTGTCCGCTCAGCCTGCCGGCTGTGACAGGTGGCCCTTCCCGGTATGCCGCCACGTGGTCCATGACTGCCCCCGAAGAATCCTTTTGAATGTAATTGCGTAGATGTTTTCATGTAAAAGTCATCATTTGACATTGCAGTGAACTTAAGAAAAGTAGTTAAGTTTTCAAACCATTGAATTAACCACAGTGGGGAGACGATTACGTGTGAATGTACCACATGTTTGGATCAATATGCTAAACATCATCTTAGTGTATTTAAGAAAACAGTTTTGATCCACCAGATCCCCCAAAAGGATCTTGAGAACTGCCAGGTTCTGTGGATTACATTTCAAAAATCATTGGACGACATATTACTATTCATTATCATTTTATAGTAGAAATAGATTTTAGAAAACATACTAGGGAGTACCTTTGTGTTACAGTTCATGCACCAAGTACATGTTTGTTTTTCTCAAAGGGTCCATCTTGCTGGGACGATGTCTTAATCCCAAACCGGATGACTGGTGAATGTCAAACTGCAAGCTGTCCTGGGACTACAGCCGTAAGTACCCAGTCAAGTCCATTTCTTTTTTTTTTTTTTTTTCATTATGACATCTTCAGGGTTTAGTAGGAAATGAGAATAGAGACAAGAATGCTGACTTTTCTTCCATATGATAGTATCCAGCAAAAGTGTTCTCTGATTCAAAGCTTTTATAATAGTCACCCAAAATTCTACCTTTTTCACTGCTTTCCAGTGTCATTTTCCCAGAGGCTTAACCACTTTAGGTGACTATGTTGAAATATGTCAATTTAAACTTCTTAAAAAGTGATATTCATGGAATATGAAGAAGAGCCACTTCAGAGCCTAGAAAAAGAAAATAACAAAGATATATGGTTAATCTTTGTGCCGATCCTGTGATATTTTGTATTTATATTCCCACATCATTCAAAATGGCTTTCTTTCTTCATCTCTACCTTTCCTTTTCTGACACAGCGGGCTACTAGAAAATCTAGTATGGATGAACAGCTATACAACTGAATTACCATCTTCTGTTCTCTGCAATCCCTTTTCTCTGTGCAAACCTGGGGCATATCTTGATGTTTCGCATAGAAGAGGTATTTCTTGAAAGAGACTCTGAGTCCTGAAGTGATTTTCTAAATAATTTCATATCCCAAACAAGTTGGTAATTTGTGTATTGTTTTACTTTTTGCCTCAAAAATTCCTGGATCTATCATAATCTGATTTTATATTATCTCCTGAGCTGTAAATACCATTACGGTACCAACACAAATGTCAATGTTAGTTCACAAACTGTCACAGACAGCTGGCAGTTGGTATCTCCTCTAAGGAATAAAGTCTGTCAGTGGCAACAGGTATGATGTTGGAGCTACAGCTATTAGGCGCGTCTTCTCTCTCCGATTTGCAGGGTGATTGCAAAGTACTGAGGTAGCAGTGAGCAGCCCAAGCAATCACTCTCCATCAAACAGGGCCGAGGACCATGAACAGATTTTTATTAATGCAAATCCTGAAGAAAAATAATGACTTGTGTGTCACTCGCAGGTATTGAGGCATAATACACTCTTGTAAGTTTACTACTGGGATGAAGTTAGAGTGTATATATTTATGGAGCAGAATTCTTAAATATAATGAGATATACATACATGCATACAAATGCAATGTGTGTATAATACACACATTGTGGCTGGGCATGAACCCCACTTAAAAAAATCCATGAAGCGAGGGAGCATTGCTCAAAAACTGCCAACAGTGCCTCTCAGGTCCCCTTGGCCACCCTGTGAGTTCCGTGCCTAACCTAGTAACAGGCAGGGGAGACACAGAGGCCACCTTCTTTGACAATGTGGGTGGCGGATGTATATCCCAGCAGAGCCAGGATGGAGAGGAGGCTTCTGTTGTGGGCTCTGGGCGTCAAAGAGCTCTGCCCAGGGAGGACAGGGAATGGAACACAGCCCCTGCAGGCTTGCATGCAAATGGCTCTCGTAGTCCCTCCCCACTGCGACTCTGGTGCCTAGAGTTGAATTATGACTGAAGGCTTTCTTGCAAAGGCTGTTCTCCTAAGGTTCCACCCAGGTGTGAACACATTTCTCCAGAGCAAGGACACAGGTATGCTGAGGGGTTCCCACGTTCCCATGGTCAAAGACCTTCTCCGGTGTGAACTACCAAGTGTATCTCTTCTGCTGGAAGCATGCCACATTGACTGCACTCATAAATCCCTACCAGCATGTCACCTTCTGGTCACCGGTGTCACAGAAGCTGCAGAAGAAGGCTTTCCCACTCTGAGGTCTTTCTACAATGAGCACTTCGGGAAAGAGGTGGGAGCTTTGGATCTCTTAGACTCATTGCAGTCAGACACCTTTCTGTGCTTAAAACTTTCGGTGCCAAACAAGGAGGGCATTTGGAATGAAGGCTTCCTCACTGGTGTTGCACATGGAAGACTTTTCCTTGCTGCGTGGTTTCTGAGGACACCTCACACTCCTGATTGTGTGGGGTTGTGTTCCTGTGAAGTGTCAGGTGGTAATTAAGAGCTGCTTACCTTGGAAGGCCTTTCTAAACACCTTGAATTTGAAGGTTCAAGGCTGGGTCTCATATGGCTAGACCAAGTCAAGTCCTTGCTGGCCAGCACCCAGGCCTCCTCCCCACACCTCTGTTGTGGGACCATGTGGGGTTGGAGACGTCAAGCCCCAGTGGGAACAAGCAAAATTATGCAGGCCACACACCATAGATGCCCCAGGGCCCTTGTCCAAGAGCCTCTCTTCTCCCAGGACAGGCACACAACCACACCCTCAAAGGTCATTGGTCCTGGCCAATTTCAGCATCTCCGTGGCCATCATTGGAGCCTTGGTCTGGGGGCCTCCTTGGAAGCTGCCCCATGTAACGTCATGGGAAGCAGTGTCTGGCCCAGTGATCTGCTCAGACCAGAGCTTTTCGGCATCAAATCCTTTAGACTGAAAACACGTTTGAATTGCCTAGGAAAATCATCCAGGGGGTTGAAGTAAAATACAGATGTCAAATTAGTTTTAAAAAAGAAAAAGAAGAGGGTAGAGTAGAGGCAAGTAGGACAAATAAGAAGTGTATACGTGTACATACACACACACACACACACACACAATAATAGAATAAAACCATATACAACAGTGACAAAACAAAATGTAAATGTGCTAACAAAAGTTTAAAAGACAAAGATTCTAAGACTTTATTAAAAGAACGTCCAGGGGCACCTGGGTGGCGCAGTCGGTTAAGCGTCCGACTTCAGCCAGGTCACGATCTCGCGGTCTGTGGGTTCGAGCCCCGCGTCGGGCTCTGGGCTGATGGCTCAGAGCCTGGAGCCTGTTTCCGATTCTGTGTCTCCCTCTCTCTCTGCCCCTCCCCCGTTCATGCTGTGTCTCTCTCTGTCCCAAAAATAAATAAATGTTGAAAAAAAAAATTTTTAAAAGAACGTCCAGCTTTATGCGAGACACAAGATATATACCTAAAACATGAGAACAAAAGCACTGAAAATTAAAGAATGGACAATGACATACCAGGCAAACATTAACCAAAGGGCAGCTTTTGAAACCATTTTAATTGCATATAAAATCAGTTTTGGGGAAACAGCATTATTAAAATTTTTCATTTTTCTTTTTTTTTTTAAGTTTTTATTTTAATTTCAGTTAGTTAGCATATAGTGTTATATTACTTTCAGGTGCACACCATAGCGATTCAACACCTCCGTACAACACCCAGGGCTCATCACCACAAGCACACTCCTTAATCCCCATCACCTATCTCCCCCCATCCCCCACCAGCTCCCCCTGTTAACCATCAGTTTGTCCTCTGTAGTTAAGAGTCTGTTTTTTTAATTTCTCTCACTCTCTCACTCTCTCGATCTCTCTCTCTCTTTTCCCTTTGCTCCTTAGTTTTGCTTCTTAATTTCCACATATGAGTTAAATCCTACAGTATTTGTCTTTCTCTATGACTTAGGTAGTTTAGCATTATACTCGGTAGATCCATCTATGTCCTTGAAAATGGCAAGATTTCATTTTTTGTGGCTGAATAATATTTTATTGTATATCTATGCCACATCTTTTTAATCTATTTATCAGTGAATACTTGGGCTGCTTCCGTATGTTGGCTACTATAAATAGTGCTGCTATAAATATAGGGCTGCATATAATTTTTTGAATTAGTGTTTTGTATTTTTTGGGTAAATACCCAGTAATAGAATAACTCGATGTAATGGTAATACTATTGGTAACTTTTTGAGGAACCTCCATTCTGTTTTCCACAGTGGCTGCACCAGTTGGCATTCCCACCAACAGTGCGTGAGGATTCTTTTTTTCTCCACATCCTCACCAACCCTTGTTGTTTCTTGTGTTGTTGATTTTAGCCATTCTGATAGGTGTGAGGTGATAGATCATTGTGGTTTTGATTTGCATTTCCCTGATGGTAAGCGATGATGATGAACATCGTTTCTTGTGTCTGTTGGCCATCTGGATGTCTTCTTTGAAGAAATGGCTATCCAAGTCTTCTTCCCAGTTTTTAAATGGATTAATTGTTTTTTGAGTGTTAAGTTGTATAAGTCCTTCATATATTTTGGATACTAAGCCTTTATCAGCTATGTCATTTGCAAATATTTTTCTCCCATTCTGTAGGTTGCCTTTTGGTGTTGATTGTTTCCTTCGCTGTGCAGAAGCTGTTTATTTTTATGTAGTCCCAATAGTTTATTTTTGCTTTTGTTTCTGTTGCCTCGGGAGACATATCTAGAAAAAAGTTTCTATAGCTGATATCAAAGAGGTTACTGCCTGTGTTCTTTTCTAGGATTTTTATGGTTTCAAGTCTCACATTTAGGTCCTTAATCCATTTTGAGTTTATTTTTGTGTGTGGTGTAAGAAAGTGGTCCCGTTTATTTCTTTCGCATGTTGATGTCCCATTTTCCCAGTACCATTTGTTGAAGAGACTGTCTTTTTCACATTGGATATTCCTTCCTGCTTTGTTTTGATCACTACGGCTTTGTAATATACCTTGAAGTCTGGAATTGTGACGCTTCTAGCTTTGCTTTTCTTTTTCAAGATTGTTTTGGCTATTTAGTATATTTTGTGGTTCCATATAGATTTTAGAATTGTTTGCTCTAGTTCTGTGAAAAATGCTGTTGGTATTTTGACAGGGATTACATTAAATGTATAGATTGCTTTGGGTAGTAAAAACAATTTAATAATAATTATTTTTCTAATCCATGAGCAGGGACTACATTTTCATTTCTTTGTGTCATCTTCAATTCCCTTCATCAATGTTTTATAGCTTTCAGAGTACAAGTCTTCCACATCTAATCTTTGGTTAGATTTATTCCTAGGTATCTTATTATTTTTGGTGAAATTGTAAATGGGATTGTTTTTTTTAATTTCTCTTTCTGCTGCTTCATTATTGGTGTATAGAAATGCAATAGATTTCTGTACATTGATTTGTATCTTGCAACTTTCCTGAATTTGTGTATCAATTCTAGTAGTTTTTTGGTGGAGTCTTCTAAGTTTACTATGTATAGTATCATGTCATCTGCAAATAGGGAA